GGGCTACAAAACCCTCCCACCCCTTCATTGAGGGAGCAAGGACCGTGATCTCCCTATCCCTCCCGTCCCACCGCAGACACAGCAGACCCTGCTCTGTATAGTGTGGTTTTCTGAAGCTTCACAGAAGCCAGGGAGAGGAACAGAAAAGCTACAGGCTGTGTGCCCAGCCACTACCTCTCCCTTCTAGCCGTTCTCCAACCTAAAAGGAGGAGAGTGACTTTATGTGTCAGCACACACTGCCATCTCACTATACAATGTGTTGACAAAATAACAGAGTTCCTCCTCCAAGGAGCTTATCATGCAAACTTGACTCAACCTGGGAAAAAGCAGCAGCACCATTGGTATTCTTCCTCAGCTCCATCCACATGCTAAGCTTTGCCCACCTGAGCTGCCAAAATGAGATGCCACTCAAAGCACATGGGCTCCTCAGGCTTGATTCTCCCTCCGTGGAGTCAGGGCCGGCTCCAGCTTTTTTGCCGCCCCAAGCGGCGAAGGGGGGGGAGGGGAAACACGATTGAGCTGCCACCGAAGGACCATCGCCGAATTGCCGCTGAAGACTGAAGCAGAGGGATTGAAGGACCCGCCACCGAAGACCCAAACGTGCCGCCCCTTTCTATTGGGCGCCCCAGGCACCTGCTTCCTTCGCTGGTGCCTGGAGCTGGCCATGAGTGGAGTTCACATACACTCTTAGGCAAGGCTGGATTCAGACATAGGCACAACAGATACTTACTTGAGTAGGGCCCCAAGGACATCAGAATTTGAGCTTTCATAAAAAGAGTTTCTAACCCCATGTTTGAAAACAAGAGCTTTAAAATTATAGAGCTTTAAAATCAAGGGACAGCAAGAGTCAACCCCCTGCCTTGATGCAAAATATGAATTAAGTATAACCAATACAGGCAAGTATGCCTTCTTCATTTTCCAGTTAAACCCAAAGTTCTAGAGAACAAGGTGGCATCCTCCAAAATATGTCAGGTTACCGATCTAGTGCAATGTGAGCTCTGCATGTAAAGTCACAGGTGAGCACAGTTCAACACAGTACGCACAAAGAAGGGTGAGGAAAGCATCAGAGTTGGAATACTTTACAGTACCTGCCAAAGTAACAGGAATAGAAATGCCTATATAACTCTGGCAAGTCAAAACCAAATCATTAACAGGTTTGGAAATACTTATGCTGTAATATGTATGGAAATGTTTGCAATAAAAAAGTTTTGAAATTCCAACAGTTTTCCAATGTACACCATTCCAAAGTCTTCAAATGGAAAACACCTTCGCAATCCCCTCCTTTTAAAGGCTTTACCTTCCTGCATCTCAGCATACAAGCCTCATGCAATTGTATATAACAAGAAAAAAATCAATGAGCCTAAAATTAAAAGCACAGTAGAGAAGGATATTTTTATCAGTGACTGCTTCTTGGTCAGCATTTTGTTTTCATTTTGGTTAGGCAAGCTACTGTAAAGGGATTGCATTTGTCAGGAGTGGAACTTTGGCTACAGCCAACACTGCTGTGTATTACACAGTAATTTTGATTACTCGTTTTTAGTTCTGATTTCTTTAATACTGTGAGGTGAAGAGGCCATGTAGAGAGGATGACTTTCTATATCCACTAGTAGGTTCTTTCCCCCACCTCCACCACATACATACTCCACAGTCTCCACCACCCTCTGCTCTGCCACTGCAACATATACTGGGGGAGGGTAGACAACCAGAGTAAGGTGAAAAGCTCTGAGGCAGGTTTCCCTCTTAGGGCAGCTGACTTCCAATGCAAAATATAACAGTAACGCCCTCACTGCAGTGATGGCATGACAGAGGGAACTGCAGCAGGCAATAAGGCAGGAAAAGCAGACCCAAAGGAACAAAAGTGGGATGAGATCTGAGAGATCTGGCCCCATTTCCTGATGCAGCACTTGTGACCACAGCCTTTCAGCTCTGCTGCCAGCCTCACCTCCAGAAGGGGAGGATGTGGTGCACAGGCGTGTGACCTTACCCTTTGATAACTCCCCTTTGGTGCTTTTTCTGCATGGGAAGTGGCAGGTTGTGAAGTGCCATGGTTTGGAACTAGATTTTTGCTGCAACATTAAGTGATCCATCCCGTCAGCCAGTCCCATCTTATGGCAATTGGAAGTTTAGGGACACCCAGAACATGGGGTTCCATCCCTGACCACTTGGGTATACATTCATGTCCTGGGCATTGAAGAAAATGAATGTATCAAATTCTTTTTTGAAGCCAGATAGACTTTTGGCCTTCACAACATGCCCTGGTAATTACAGTCGTGACCGCAATCACAACATGGTTACAATGTATATAATTATGTAAAAGTTTTATACTACCTACTATATTATAATTTATGTTGGTATAACCATTAATCATTTAGATATGCAAACGTTATTTTGCTTCTCAAGCATCTTCCAATAGCCCCAATTAACTTCTACTGTAAGCTACTATTATTCAAGAAGTTATTCAAAATGTCTAGCAGCAATTATTAACTTGGTATTTAATATTTAATAGCATCATAAAAGATGTAGGCATTTCAAAGGTAACTTCAAGAACAACAGGTATCAATCATCATATTTTTCTCTTTATAGAAGTACATCTTTAGAAAACAAGCCTACCTGAGATTGCCTTGGTATCAAAGATTTGTTTTTCTTCCAAAGCTATTATACTGTAGCCTTATTAGGATTGCATCTCAAGACTGTGACTAATGACAAAGCCAATTAACATCCAGTCAGATAATACATTAAAGGAGAGCCCTAAGAAGTCTTTAGGAGCTTCATGTGTGCATTTACGTTTCAGAGCTGGTTAACTAGTTATTACCATTTATTTAGCATAATAGAACAAGAACACATGATAAATAATACAACAATAGGCCCAACAAGAGACCCCCTAAAATACAGCTTCTTAGTAATCAATTTATTTCAGTCAATCCAGGAAGCATATCTGTATTAACATGGCTTTTTATCCATAACACAAGAAGAGAGGGAAAGTGAATGTTCTAATTCTTATGTGATTTATATAATTCATAATTAAAAGTGTTGCATAAGAAAATGAAACCACAGTATGTCCTCATCTATGAGATGCTGAAGGATGCAGTTATTTCAGAAATCTGAGGTAGGCAGATGTCATCCTTAGTCCTTTTTTGTGTAACTTACGTAATGAAAAAGAATGCTGCTTTACAAATTTACACATGCCATGGTGATGAAGCACCTCTACAGTAAATAATAAGGTCACCAGTTGTAGCTGTTTACAAACAGTCAGATTATGAATCTGTTAATTTGCAATCCTGAAAGCTCCTTTCAAAGTAAGATTAACACAGTTTCTGCTTATCATTTTGCTGTAGCCAAAGAGCCTCGTGCAAAAACAATAAAACTGGTTCCCCTAGTTTCACCAATGAAAAATTATGCAACAGCTCATTGTGTATTTCATGGATCTACAGTACAGCTAAATCCAACTGCACAGGAATACGTACAGTAAATTGGTGAAATTGAACACTTTCATTTTCTCATTGATGCGAATGAACGTTGAAGATACTCCCTTGGGTGAAATCAACAAAATAGCTCCTCTAAATTTTACTGTCTGTAAATTGGAATTCAAATGGATAATGAGTAGATTTTTTTTTCCAAATTGTATCAAATAAATGCCATCCCTCTTCAGTAAGGGTGAATCAATTCACGGCCTGTCAGCATTCAAGTCTCATATAAATCACATTTGAAAACACTAGGCTTCAGTGGCACATAGGGCTTGTGTGTGCCCTCTGCACAGGAGTGAATTTCACCCTAATAGACCAATCCTGCAACATAAGGCCCTAAATAGACTTCTATGCAATTTGGGAGGTGGGTGAAAATAGAATGCTCGTTTTCTGTAAATCAGATTAACTAGAACTGTTCATTAGCTACTTTTCAGTTTTTAAACAAATGAAACAGGAATAGTGATTAATTAATTAATTAACAGATAAGTCTTAGCCTACTCCTGAAGTAGTATTACTCAAATTATGTTGGTTTATGCCAGCACAAAACGAGCAAGTCCCCAGGAGCAGACACAAGGCTTCAAATTGCAATGACATAAGGCAACCTCAGCCTCAGTGATGCTTAGAGAGAGGAACTACAGGGGACCCGAACAGCCCAAAGTACAGGTAATGCTACCCATACATGAGGTCTGACCTGAACTAAAGTTGCCCCCTGAAAATCTCATAGAAGAAAGGCAGTAGTGGAAAGACTGACCCCAGATGCCAGGCAATCTCCTGTAGATCACAAGAGGCTCAGCTAGTGCAGGTATGTTTAAATTGCACCTTTTTGTACAGCTGTGGTAAATATGGCCTAATAAATATTATCTCCACTTTACAGATGGCTGAACCAAGGTGAGGAAAGTTAGCTGGCTTGTCCCAGCTTACATAGTGACTCATGGAAGAGTTAGTTTTGTTCCTTGCCCTAACCACTATCAGACTGGCTCATATTCTAATGCCTGTAAGACCAGTGTAAATCCAGACTAATTTGGAGTTATTCAGATTTATATTGGTGCGATGGAGATCAGAATCTGCCTCTCATTTAGCTTGGTTCCTGCTATTATTTTTACAAGTCTATGGGCTCAGATACATACATTATATTATTTTATTATGTTTAATAACATCCCAAAGCCGGGGGGAATGATTTCTTTTAAAATAGTCTCACCTTCTTTTCTGTTTCCCATTTAAAAGCAAAAAACAAAAATTAAAAAATGATACACGTTTGAGGCAAGGTAGAAGGCAAGCTCTTGAAGAAACAATGAAAGCAGGTTTTTTTAATTAGTAGTTTGGGATTTTTTTTTCCTTCCTCAAATTAAGAAAAATATGCTGCTGGGACTCTTTAATTAATTAGAAAATAAGGCATTAGAAGTAACTGTATACTAGCAGAAGAAACTATTCTTACAAGAACAGTTTGTGTTGATCCTACATTGTATGATATGAATACTGAAGCAGTTTTCTCATGCATATAAATTACATGCAGGTTGATTTTAAAACATTACTTACCTTCAAAGTCCAAAAAAGGAAGTGAAAAATAAAGAGATAATGGATTTTGTTAACTGCCAAATGAAGTAAGTTCAGAAACAAAAGCCCAAAGACTTCCCGTTCATAATAAGCAACATTTTGAAAGTTGCATATACAGCAGAAAGGACCGAAATAGCATCCAAGGAATCGGCAAGGAATCTAGGCCAAAGCAATCTTTGGGATTGACCTCGAGAAACAATGAAAAATTAAGAACACCGATTAATTCATTGAAGATTAATGAAGTTAAAAAAGCACCTGAAATGTCAGACAGGACTCAAGATATGACATATAATCGAATATATCATGGAATACTTTGAAAGAACAGCACACTATCAAAAAGGTCACTGTTTATTTTACAACAGGTCAAATTCAGTCCTGCTATAAAACAAATTGCTTCAAAAAAGTTGTACCAGGAATGAGAGACATTAAACTTTAGTACAGAATTAAATGAGTCACCATTATAGAGAGACAGTGGTAATAACATGCATGGTTAAGATCCTCACTTTGCCAAAAGGTAAGACAGTAAGAACAAATGGACAACATGGGGAAAGAGAGAGAGACTTGAGTAAGGACTGCAAGATTCCACCTCAAGTACATGCATTTAAGGTTCAGAATTAGAGGATTTAAGCATAACTCAAGAGGTGAAATCCTGGCCCCAATGAAATTAACAAAGCTCCCATTGGCTTCATTAGGGCCGAGGTTCCATCCAACATAACCAAACATTAGATTTTCTCTACTTTAGTTATACTGAAGTGACTAGAACAACTGCCTCAGACAAAGAAGTCAAAAGCATGAATTAAAAAGCTCTGAATGTTTAGAACATTGAATCAAGCAGTTAACATAGTAGCTAAGACCATTCTGTAGATGTATGATTGTACTTTTACTCCTGGGGGAATTCTGTGCCCCTGCGCAAGGCAGAATTTTACAGAAATTAACATTGTGCACGCAGAATTTCCTTTCCCTGACAGAAATGGACTGCAGTGTTTCTGGCCGCCACTAGCGGCTGCTGGACCTGGCACAGCCCAACTCACACATAAAAGACACTGCCGGGGGAAGAGAGAGGAAGCTAGAGGGTCCCTGGCAGCTGCAGTTCCCAGCACGCCCTGAGGTAAAGAGACGGTGGCACGCAGGAAACTCCATGCAAACCTGGGACCAAACATCAGGCTGTTTCTTCCTCTGGATCCTTGGGCTCTGGGAGGAGGAGGGAGCCCAGGTGTCTGAGCTGGGGGGCCACAACTGGGCTCTGGGGGAGAGAGGAGGCAGATATCTGGACTCTGGGGGGGAAGGCATGTGGGTATCTACACAAGGGGGACCCATGGCTGAGCTCAGGGGGCAGAGTGTACGGGTATCTGGGCCGGGGGACCCCGCGACTGGGCTCTGGGGTGGGGGGGTTGGGTGTATTGGCTGGGGGGCACCATGGCTGGGCTCTGGGGGGGAGGGGTTGTGGGTGTCTGGCCGCCCAGCTGGGCTGAGAAACAGGGACTGGGTTGTTAACTCTCTACTCCTGGGGGAATTTGTGACAGGTATTTTGAAATAAATTACCAAAATAATTGAAACTCGTGTGATTATGTAGTGTTATTTTGACAAATAAAATTTGCAGAATTTTAAAATATTGTGCACAGAATGCCCCCAGGAGTACAGTACTACTTATGTTGTTCTACTGAAGGATCAACCAACATTTTCATTATACGTTACAAAATACTTACCTTGATATGCAGAGCAATGAACCTCTATCAAAATATCTAGAGTCTTTTTTTATGTTGGTGGATACTGTCATTCAGTGCCCAAGAACTGTAACTGAAATCCAGGCAAAACCGGAAGAATCTTTTGTTGGCTTTGTTTTCTCCCACATTTCTGGAATTTAAAATGATGCCAAGTCTTCAGTTACCATTTCGCCCTATGAAAAGTATTTTCATTGTAACATTTAGGACAAAAGATAGAGGATTTATTTTAGGTGTGTCTGAAAATTGTCAGTGGTACTAGTGATGAAATTCATGTTTCCCAAGAGGAGACCAGCTAAAGCTATGTCAACTAAACACTGAGGAAATTACAGTAATTGTTTTGCACAATTGACAGAGGTGCACCATTGAATAAGGGGATGCTTTCCACATCTGACAATGTCTCACAAGCAGGTTGCATGGATCCAGTGAGAGTCAGCCTACTTTACGATGGTCAGACGTCTCTTTTGACAGATAGATACATAGCCAGCTAAGTGCTCTTGCTTTCTGTAGTCAGCTAAATTTGACCATGAGGGCAGAAAGTTTGGTTGGTTTTTATTGTCTTACATCAAGCACATATATGGAAAAATTATTTTACACAGTGGTGATATAATTGTATAAAATATTTTTGTTTGTAAAATACAAAAACATGGGCTAACATTTACAAACTTGGGAGCCTAAGATTAGTCAAGTATCAGAGGGGTAGCCGTGTTAGTCTGGATCTGTAAAAAGCGACAAAGAGTCCTGTGGCACCTTATAGACTAACAGGCATATTGGAGCATAAGCTTTCGTGGGAGATTAGACACTAGATCCATATTTATGCACCTTCATTTTATTTAAAATTTCAAAGGGACTAAGCACCTAGAGCTCCCATTCACTTCAATTAAAATGGTGGATGCTCAGAACCTCTACAATTCAGGCCTCTTGATTAGGTGCCCAAGTGTGAATTTAGCTGCCTAATTTTAGTAGCCAAGTCTGAAAATTATTGGTCTTGGTAGATTTTCAGTCACACTTAAGCAAGTCAGAAGCACAAGTTCCAGGTCTATCAAATCAGCCTTCTACTCTTAACTCTCTGAGGTGCTATTAAAAATCTGAAACCAATAATTTTTATTTAAGGGGTAATACAAGTATTATAGAGATCCATAATATCCAGTGCTCAGATGAAGTTATGAAGCTTTATTTAACTTTTTTCTTCAGTGGAGTTTTATTTTGGTTTCTTCTTTTCATAGCAGCATGAGTAATTGGTTGGATATTGGTTGGGTACATGCTCAAAGTACTGTATTAGCCTACACATCTGGTGTCATTTTGTTATGTCTTTATCTTTGCTAAAGAGCAGACGCTAGTGGAAGAATTAGGCATAGCCTTGCTTTGGGGCCTCAGAGCTGTACTGGGTGAGGGGGAGCTCATCAAGCCACAGCCACTCCCTGACTGGGGAGACGGCACAGACTATCATCATTCAGTATGCTTGGTGCACAATAGGTAGACTGACATCAACGTTCTACATTGACATGGGTTCACAGACTTGTGACGATGCAGTATTTCCCACCCCAGTCCTTAAGGTGGAAGACTCAACACTTTCATTTTTTTACTTCCATACATTCCCCTTCCTGAAGCACTCCCCTATCGTTAACATAATTGATGTAACACCAAGATAAATTTTAGCCTTGAAAGAAAATCCAGATTCCCACTTTGAGGGAAACACACTGAAATTTATATTAAAAAAAAAAATACTCTCAAAGGAGATAGAGTAGAGTTGAGAACTAGGAAGTCCACAGAAGAAAATGAGGTCACAGAGAGAGGAAAAGGTTGGAGACGCAATGTTGTCAACACTCATGATATTTGGAGATTTTCTTAAAGCCTCATCTCCTGGAGTCATGTTAAGTTAGAATCAGATTTCATTTAAAAGAAGAAGAGCCTAGATCTTGTGATTACAAAATGAGCCCTAAAGGCACAAAATACAGAAAGCAAATAAGAACACATTTATTATTTTTGAAATCTCATTATCTTTAAGCCAATCTTATGATTTTGGGGGGCCTGACTCATGAGTTTTGAAGGGCTGGGGTTGGCAATACTGTGAAAGTAGCAGAGGAAATGGAATATTTTATAGGCTGGAGTTTGTTAAATAAATGTGTTATGAAGTGAGGGTGTAAAAGATGCTGACAGAGAGCAAGTGGTGGAAGAAGAGAGAGAGAGAAAGAGAGACTAAGTCATGAAAATGACCAACATGGTAAGTCATTCAGGCCTAGGAGGGATTCAAAAATCACTCTGAATATGTTTTGATAACATTCTAAATAAAAAAGGCCCAAGTGAAAAGTACAGTGTGTAAAATTGTAAATTTTCAGAGCTATCAAGTTAATAAACCCCCACATGGGAGATTTGAACTGGTGAGACCAGAGGATCAAATCAGTTCTAATTATGCCTTTGTTAACATCACCATTTACATGGCTAGCCCTTTTCTAATGGGAACAATCAGAATTTCTTGACACTGCTTCACTTCATTGACAAAAAAGGAGTATGGAAGAATGAGAATTTATGTATATTTTCATTGCAGATTTCTCCATAAGTAGGGCACTATTAAAATAAAAGTTGTATCTGATATTAAAATAATTAGGTCTCTACAAAAAAAATTGAATAAAATGTTAATGCTCAAAGCAATACCCCATATTTTCCCATCAAGTTCAGTCTGTACAGATAACAATACTGCTTGGACTTAAGTCATTATTAGGCATAATGCTTCAACCACCTTTAAGACATCTAAGCAAGCAGCATGGCACTATAATTCAATCAATCATATTTTCTCACCTCTTCTGAAGCCCTTTTCTGATTAAATAGCTTATTTAAGCATACATTTTGGAGTATGAAAAGTCTTTTCTTTTACTGTCCTCTTGGTACCAGAGACTCGAAAGCTCAGCACACTCTTGCTGGCAACATGGCCAGTTTGACTCTCTCTGCTGAGAATGATCACTTTATGGGGTAGTTCCTTGCATCTCTGGAAGCACAAACAGATGAGGTGGTCCAGTACTGGCTACCTCTACATCTCATTAACTGAGCAGGGGACCGAAAACCACAAAGCCTCCTTACTGACAGAACACTATGTGGAAGTTCAAAGAAAGGACTACATGCCTCATTCTGAAGCTTAGCAGGGATCTTTTTTTAGCCGATAAGGGCTTATCTTATAACCCTTCTTAGCTGTGATCCCTGCACATGACCTAGAGAAAAACAACAGCCAAAAAAAAAAGGTACATACAGTACTTAGTAAACATAGATAACCCAAATACACTCCTATCTATATACTCTTACCTAAATCAAACACTGTTTACCTGCATTTCTTAAATATCTAACAGGGCTCCGCTGTTACAGTTTGGGTTTTCTGCATCTTGTTAATATGCCCCGTCTCTCTTTCTCTGTTCAAGTAAAGCCGATATGATTTAATAATTATGTCACATGTATTTTTTTTAAACCCAGATGCTGTGGTACCACTTAATATCACTTAGACCTCTCTGCCTTTCTGGTTGGACCAACATACCAGCTTGTTAATTATCATCTGCTAAAATATTCAATCCCTGTGTATTTGTGCACAGTACTGGTTTGTTTTTTGTTTATTTCTTTCCTCATGATATGTTAGAACACGGCCATTATAAGAGACTTCCCCATAATCTCATATTCTAGAGATGCAATTTTCAGTGTAAATAATGTTAGTTTATTGTCCCAAATCACTTTGCAGGTGAATGAAAGTAGTCAAAGTGGCAATGTTCTTTCCAAAATGATTGTCACTAACTTTACTGCTATCCAAATGGAATAAAGAATGGGATAAATTGATTTTATTATTGCGAGAGAGCACAAAACCACCACAAAACTGGAACACTAACATTGGAAAAATGAGAACAATGACATACTTGTATTATTTTCCAGTGTTTACCACAAATTAGTCACACAATTCAAGGGCAAGGCTTTCATTTTACAGTCATTTATTCACACTGGACAATCATTACTGCTATGATCTCATAGGCAACTTCCTCTCTCAATTACACCAGGGTAACCTCAGCTGTAATCAATAGGGCTACAGTGGTGCAACAGAGGAAGATTTGGCCCATATTTATATATTTCACATATTCTTTGCATAAATGCCTATGCTTATGAGGATGATAATGAAGAAAGAATTTATAAGGAATTGAGGGTTATGTTACTGTCTCAGTAACATTTACTCCTGGGGGGATTCTGTAGGACTGCGCACCCACAGCAGAAAACGCTTCCCCCACCCTGCACATTTCCTGCTTTTCCCTGCATGATTGGATGATTTAGTTGGGGATTGATCCTGCTTTGAGCAAGGGGTTGGACTAGATGACCTCCTGAGATCCCTTCCAAACCCGATATTATATTATTCTAGGGCAGCCGTGGGGAGGGGGGACAGGGAAGGGAAGTGACCACGTGGGTGCAATTTTTTGGGAGGATTGCTCCCCAAACAGAAGTGAGGCATAGGGGGGCACACAGGGTTACGTGCCATTGCCCCCCTCCCTCCTCATTTCTGCAAACACAGAGTTGCCCAGCTGGGAGGCTGCCTCTTGTCTGGGGCTCTGCTGACTTTGCAGCTGAACGCAGCCTCCTGGGTCCTAGTGCCAGTTGCGCTCCCCTTCTATATTCTGGGAGCCTTCCTATTTTCTGTGGAACAGGGAGTTCCCACAGTGGGTCTGGGTAATCGGAGTTGGGGGAAATGAGGGAAGAAGGGAGGAGGAATAAGGCAGGGAGAGGGGAATGTTAGAGGGAGGGGAGGGGGATGGAGAAGAAAAGGAGATAGGGGAATCATGGGAGGAAGCGGGATCCCAGCCTGTGGCGTCCCCTCGGCAGCAGCTGGGGCTCCCCCATTAAGCAGGCCCATCGAACCCTCACCCTGACAAGCCCTACCCCTCCACACACCAAGCCCCATCTCCCCACACCAACCCCACCCCCACCCCCAATCCC